CACACACACACTTGTGTGCTATGGCCAATTTAGTTTATTCAATTCACCTATACAGCATGTCTTTGGACTGTGGGGGAAACCAAAAGATCTGGAAGAAACCCAAATGAACACGGGAAGAACATGCAAACTCCACATAGAAATGCCAACTGGCACAGCCAGGATTTGAACCAGCAACCTTGCTGTGAAGCGACAGTGCTAACCACTGAGCCACCATGCCACAAATATTTTAACAATATATTATATTTAGTGATGTATATTAAAAAAAAATTCCCCACTGTATTTATTTGGTTTTTGTTTTTGTAAACATGCTAATAAAAACTATATTAATCAAATAATGAAAATAAGGGTAATTGGTCAATATATCAGTTATTGGCCTCCAAATATTGGTCCATAGTTTAAAGTTCAATGCTGATTTGATTTGGTTTTATTTTCATTCATTTTCATTTCGATTTAGTCCCTTTATTATTCTGGGGTCGCCACAGCGGAATGAACCCCCAACTTATGCAGCAGATGTTTTATGCATCCATAAACACTCATTCACACTCATACACTAGGGACAATTTAGCCTACCCAATTCACCTCTACCGCATGTCTTTGGACTGTGGGGGAAACCGAAGCACCCGGAGAAAACCCATGTTAATGCAGGGAGAACATGCAAACTCCACACAGAAATGCCAACTGACCCAGCCAACGCTTTAACCAGCGACCTTCTTGCTGTGAGGCGACAGCACTACCTACTGCGTCGCCTTGGTTTTATTTTAATTAGTTTGATTAATCATGCAGCCATAATCAAACAATCCTTTATTATAATCCTTATTGTACTTACATTGGGACTGGCCTCAAGCATGTTGTCTCCATTCCACCCAGAGATGGGCACAAATGCCACAGTGTCAGGATTGTAGCCAATCTTCTTGATGTATGTGCTGACTTCCTTCACAATTTCCTCATAACGCTTCTGGCTGTAACTGGGTTCAGTGGAATCCATCTTGTTGACACCCACAATGAGCTGCTTCACACCCAGTGTGTAAGCCAGAAGAGCGTGTTCTCTGGTCTGGCCGTTCTTCGAGATGCCAGCCTCAAACTCCCCAACACCAGCCGCCACAATCAGCACAGCACAATCCGCCTGTGTCAGAGGAAACGGTTGGGATTATTAGTTTGAATGTAAATAAATAGCATCTACTATAATATATTTGTGTGTCGGATAAGTTCCCGACCTGTGAGGTTCCAGTGATCATGTTTTTGATGAAGTCTCTGTGTCCTGGAGCATCAATGATGGTGACGTAGTATTTGCTGGTCTCAAACTTCCACAAGGAGATGTCAATTGTGATTCCCCTCTCTCTCTCTGCTTTAAGCTTGTCCAGAACCCAGGCATACTTAAAGGAACCCTTTCCCATCTAGGAGTGACACATATCAACATATAAAACACGTGAACCTTTTCAATTATAATTGAGTTCAAATGCCTCCAATTTTCAATCTTACCTCTGCAGCTTCTTTCTCAAACTTCTCAATGGTCCTTTTGTCAATCCCACCGCATTTGTAGATGAGGTGACCAGTCGTAGTGGACTTTCCAGAATCCACATGGCCAATAACCACAATATTGATGTGGAGCTTCTCCTTTCCCATGGTTGATTGCTTTATTTAAAGTGCCAATGTAACTGTAAAGCTTTACAAACACCAACAATCTGTCACTTGTGAATATTCTACAGTAAGACAGACCATTTTAATGTAGTCATGTCATGGGCCCATGAATATTTTTTGCTTGTCAAACAAATACAAAACTTTAATTTTAAAACAGCTATGATAACATTTTCAACTTCTATAGCTTTCGAGAGTCCAAAAAGAGCCACATTTTGATCATGTAAAACAGGAAATACATTGGGACTATTGTTTTTGTTTACATTCCTCAAAATAGTCTATAGACATACATTAAGGTAGATTTGTGATACTTTGCTATTGTTTTTTTGCTTTTAAGCCTATAATTCTAAAAACCAAAAAAGTGGCAATTTAGGTTGTTTTCACATTTTGGTTAAGACCCCAAAATGTTATGTATTTAGTACTGGTTTAGTTAACGTTCACACTCATTTTAAAGGCTTAACCCAAAAAACGAGAAAAAAAAAGCTTTAATGAAGTTTATTATGCAAAGAAACTTTCTGATCATGCAAAACAATGCTGCGCTGTGCAAAACATGCTGCTTGTATGTGTGCATGTTTGCTCTTTATTGTGTTCCCATTTAGGTTGTATTACACAGATTGTAAGTTATAAATGGACAGAGACTCATCTTGAAATGTCTGAGGTGATCTCAGTCAGCTTGTTTGGTTTACACCAAATTTCAGATAGCAGCATTCACACTTGTCTGTGAATCACACTGACTGTGTAATCAGCCTAGAGTCTGTTTTAATTGAACCAAATATTCCAAGTGTAAACGCATCCTTGTATATGCCTCAATCAATCAGATTTCCCAGTGGTGTTCTAAATCCTTATGATGTTGTGAAAAGATCTTTTAAAAGAATGCCCTGGTTGTCCTTTTTCATTTTGATTGTGACTGACAATGCAAAGACTTAAAATAAGTTCAAAATCAACATGGAAAACACTACGCAGCACATTCTTCAAACATTCTCCTTCGGTGTTCTGCTGATGTAAACAAACTGCAAGGGGCATCTGAGTGATCAATGACGTGTCTATTTTTTGGGTGCAGTAATCTTGAATAATTACTAATGCAAATATTAGTTAAGTAACACACATGTCTCTGTAGGACTGCAGTATTTAAATGTCTTCATGATTTGAATGTCACTCAGTTGGCACTAAAAAGAAATTTTGTTAACAAATGTATTCATTATACTTCTCTTTTCTTTTCTTTTTTTTTTAATTCAAACAGCGCTGAGTTTATCATGTGGGTCTGTTTATAGGCTCTTTGCCCTGCTAAGTAACTGGCAACAGACTGGGCATGCCTTCCTTCATGCCTGGTACATCTTTGTCCTGCAGACTCCATTTTGTAAAGATTCGCCTACCGATTTAAAAAGACTGGCAGCCATTTGTGAAACACTCATATATCTTGTTAAAAAAAGAAGAAAGACTATTTTGCAGCTAGAATCTGTATTACATTCTACAGTGATGCACTATTGCAAGGTTGCATCATAAGCCCAACATGCAAGATTCTTGCATCAGCATCATTTCAAAGAAGCTGATCAGTAATTTTTCAAGGACAGAATTCCAAGACGTTCCTTAAATGCAAGAGCCGGACTGCCATTAGTGCAAGGAAGCTAATTCCCAGCTTAACTTGAGAGGTTAACAGAAGAGCTATTCTTGTGGAGGTTACCTAACAGACGCATTCTGCTAAAAGAGCTGTGAATTATTATTACAATCACATCAACCTGACACGGAAATTAATTTATTTTGGAGTCAATTTGCTGAAAAACATTGCAATGTTAGTCATGTACTGACAACATGCGACAGAGATCATTCGGATGTCTATAGGGGATTTATTATTGCAATCCCTTCCCTGCAGCTGCCGCCATGTTCTCTCATTGCCAGTCTGTATTCTAGCGCAGTGTCGCATGCAAACATTAGTAAACATCTATTACGAGCGGATACTATTTAGACAAAATCAATACCGACATGATATCGCAATTTAGAATAGCAGACGCGTTATAAGAGTTCATCTTTAAGTACGCAGCCGAACATGCGTGTGAAAGTGCGGTACAGTACCTGTGCGTGTTCTCGGATACCGGAGCGGTGCTGAAGAGACAGAGCGGCGCGTCTGATCTTATAATACAGACTGAACATGCGCAGACAGCACAGCCTACATCAGTCTGAGGATGCTTGAGGTCAGACGACGATATTAAAAAAACGGCTAAATTATTTATCATTTTGCGTAGGGCGAAAGAAAAAAGCTTAATGTGAGTTTGTTCTGAGGACACAGCTTTAAACGTGTCAGGTGCACTAATAATGCTGAGATTTTATTATACATGCATTAATAATTCATTTCATGAAAATGTTGGATTTGTGCAGAACTTATATTATTAGAGTGTAAATCAACTCAACAAACGTGTGCAGCAACTTTATTAGGTATACACATTTAATAGGCATCGTGTTGCATCATCTTGACAGATTACATAACATACAGTGTTTACATAGGTTTTAGCTGTCATATCACTGGATTGCACAAAAACAGAACAATTGTAAACAAATCATTTGTATGCTACTGTGCACAAAGGTTAAAATGTAAAAACAAGGCATGGCTTTAAAGAAAATCTCCCAGTTGGACCTGTTGCTTGGACGTGGTGTTGTGCTAATCAGGTCTACAGTAAGGCATATTCCATAAGGATGTGAATCAAAAAAGATTCTGCGAAATAATCCAGGTTCTATTTTTTAAGGATTATTTAAAATATTAAAAACAGAACTTATTTAACAATTGAGTTATCTATTACAAAGTAACTGCATTTGGACAAGTCTTAAAAGGGACACAAAATTGAAATATTTCTGTTCATTTACTTTACTCCACCCTCCAAGATGTAGGACTTTTATTCTTCTGAAAATCATAAAAGATATATATTAGCTGAAACTTTGGTCCTTAACGATTCATAAAATGCAAATGAACAGATTTGAAAGGCAAACATTTTGAGTGTAAAAAAAAAAAAATCATTACAACAAAATCAATACATGTGGCTCCTGATAATACATCGAGGTCTTGTGATGCAAAATAATCGTTCTGTGCAAAAAAGTAGCTATTAGCCTACATTTTATGAATCTACAAGGACCACAGTTTCAGATGAAATCTTCTAAAGAATACAACTTGGGTTGACTGTCATTTAACAGCTCACTTTCACTTCTGGTCGCACTTTAAATATCTTAAACAATTCTCTAAAAGAGTTATGAATGTCACATTATCCTTTTATCTGGCTAAGACTTCCCAGCAGGCATACAATGTCATAAGACTTTATTTTAGTGATGTCAGGTGACCAAAAATTACTGTCTAGCCAGAGTCTAAGGACAACGTCATATTGAAGTCAAATACTGACATTTATTCATCAGGAATGGCAACCAAAATCCAACGTCAGATATATGTCAAAGTGGTGACTTCATTAGATGTTGATATTTGGTTGATTTTAGGTTGAACACCGATGTTGGCCTGATGTTGGGTTCTGACATCAACCTGATTTTCATTCCAAACAAAATACAACATCCCCATGACATTGGGGTACAACGTCATGTTGACGTCCAGTGCCTGCTGTGTGGGTTCCACTTCAATGACATTGCGTACAATATCATTTATGCAAGTTCAGAAGTCTTGTATCAACTCCCAGTAACACTCCAGAATTTTTCCACTGAGTATTTTAATGAGTGCCCTACATAAATGGTTAATTCAGGGACTCGTTTGAGGTTGTGTAGTCAAACCCTTTATCTCCTTATGATGGCCAATTGTACCATAAAGACACTTATGTATATTCCCTTCATTTACAGTTTCATTAAAAAAATTGTCTAAACAACTGACATTTACAACTAATACAGATATTACCAATATAAAATAGCTCAATTTAACTCATTAAAACATAGATTGTGCAATACTCATTAGTTTGTAAACCATATGCAATTACCTATAAATCTCTATGGAATTTAAAGTACATACATCCCTTTGGCCTTTAAGAATTGGCTAACCGTAGTCAAGTGTCACTGGATGTGTATTGTCTGGACAGCCCAAGGCTGGACTGTACCCTTGCCAAATATTGTGAAGAAAACGGCTCCAAAAATATTAATTGCTGCAGAAATGTAGAAGACAATTTGCCACTCCGGAATAGTGTTCTAGAATAAAACAAAATATTCAAGCATTTATTACTTTTTCCTGACAGTCAGAAAAACTGGAAATTGATGACAAGTACTTTTTCCTTATAAAACTGATGTATAGCAAACACATGACCACCTACACAACAATAAAACTTACACAAAAACAAAACAACAATAAAAACAGTAGTAGTCTGCTTCACAGTAGCCCAAGTAAATTGACCCAATACTTACCGTAAACGTACATAAAACAAATTATCACGTTTAAAAATGTGCTGGTCACAAACAACACAACTTTGACTATTTACCAGTAATGCTACAACGTCTCATTCTAGAAAATTACCTGAAATAAGTGTAATATTTAAAAAAGAGCCTATTCACTCATGATGTCTCCACAGGATTTTTATTTTGCAGAAAAGTCTTAATGTGTGAAAGGGGCGAGAATCTTTCCCAGATTGTGCAGCACAACTGCAATATCAGGTCTGCTTACACACATACAAAACAACTTATGCATTTTGGCCAATGCATTTTCATTAATATGGCAATAGTACACAAGTTTAGTGTACCGTCTGTAGTCACGTGTAAGTACTTGAAAACAATGTGGGACTACATAAGCCATAATGATAAAATATTTATAATCTATAAGAGAGTAGATGAATAGGATTGTGGAAAAAGTACTATAAAGTTTTCAAAAAATAACTTTAAATACATCATTTTCATGTAAACGAACGCATTACTAGTGCCAGACAGAATCTGTGGACATTTTTTGCTATTTCTGCACAGAATTTATGCGTAATGATTTTGGAAGTATCGTAACTAAAAACTTAATATATGAAATCAAAAAAAAAATCTACCTTTTTAGGTTTTATTTAATGTTTACAATGCAAATCCTATTAGATCAACTTAATGGGTAAACAAATCAAGTCTCTTATACAGTGCTTCCCAAGGTTTGAAATATACTTGCGGTGGTAGCCGGATTGAAACACCATTTACCCACATCACATTAGTAGTTCACTATATGTGACAAACAAAACATCATTTTTACCAATAATTTTATCTATTATTACTTTCAAGTTCAAAGCAAACTTGAATGCCAAAGCATTTTAGATATAAAAAAGCCTATGTGATATAGCCTAATGACATCATCAAATGAATACAATATACAGCAAATGACAAATAAATGACAGAAAATGGAGCTACAAGGAATAGCTCTAAAATTATAGTAGTTACAAGATTATTTAAATAAGGCAAATGGGTTGATTAACCATTACTAATGGTGTACATATATTTTGCAGCCAGTTAAGACTAGTCATTTTATCCTCTCCGAACATATATAGTAATGTTTTTCTTAATCGTTTAGTTTCAAGAATGAATTATTAAATATTTCTATTGCTCTCGCAATTGTGCGCGTGCAGTCAGCTGCAAAGTAGGCTTAAAAAAAGGTAATGGAAAAACGCATACAATTAATCACAGCTTTAGAAAACCCGAATTCTTGACATTTTAGAAAATTTAGAAACCGTGGCCAGACAAATTTTATAGGGTGTTTTCACACTTGGTTCAATAGCCTGGACCGTACCCAAGTTGGATGTTCCCCTTTGCCACCTTCTCGGTTGGTTTGTGTTCACTCTGTCTTTTTCCCTTCTGAACCCCGGTACGCTTGCATCATTAAGCTGCTGTTTTGTTTACAGCTGTTGTTAGGTGACGGACACGAAAGCAAAGCATCAAACTGGAAAGACGTACGCATGTCACGGTCATTCAGCTTTTAATGAATCTTTTGGGTTTGGACATACAGAAAGCGACTCGCATCTATCTGCTGCAAAGATATTAAAAACGTTCAGAACATAACGCGATGTCTGCAGAGGCTGTTTTTGGAGGAGACAAGCAGACATTATCACTGTGTTTGCCCTGGCTCAGTCACCAAGGTACAGTATACATAAATGAACGTTATGAAAAAGATAGTTTGTTGTACAGTTGGCGGTATTTGGTACGATTGCATTCATAACAGAAGTGAACCAGACCAGAGTTTGCACAAACCATACCCCAGACCACCTCTTTTAGGCAGACTCGGGTATGGTTCATGGGTGCGCACATAAGTTTAGAAGAAACGTACACACTAGCTAAACTTACACTACTCTGACGTCAAACAGATCAAACGTATTAGTGTGAAAGCACCCTTAGTGTCAAAAGGCGCATCTCTGTGGGTCTGCAGAGCACATGAGACTGTCTGTGAGAGTGCTGACAGGTTTCGCGCACACAGAACGAAACAGGTACACGAGAGAGGTATTTACACTACTTAATCGATCGCGGCTGTTTGGTTATACATTATATGGTTTTATATATATGTTATGGTATAGTTATATATATATACAATTGAAGTCAATTATTAGCCCCCCTGAATTATTAGACCGCTTGTTTATTTTTTCCCCAATTTCTATTTAATGGAGAGCAAATTTCTTCAACACATTTCTAAACATAATAGTTTTAATAACTCATTTCTAATAATGGATTTAATTTATCTTTGCCATGATGACAGTAAATAATATTTTACTAGATATTTTTCAAGACACTTCTATACAGCTTAAAGTGACATTTAAAGACTTAACTAGGTTAATTAGGGTAATAAGGCAAGTTATTGTATAACAATGGTTTGTTCTGTCGACTATCGAGAAAAAAAGTAGCTTAAAAGGGCTAATAATTTTGTCCCTAAAATGGTGTTTAAAAATTCAAATTGCTTTTATTCTAGCCGAAATAAAACAAATAAGACTTTCTCCAGAGGAAAAAATATTATCAGACATACTGTGAAAATTCCCTTGCTCTGTTAAACATCATTTGCTAAATATTTTAAAAAGAAGAAAAAAATTTTGAAGGGGGCTAATAATTCTGACTTCAACTGTGTATATATATATTTATAACGATATGAATACAATTTCACTAAATGAAATAAATGAAATAAACAGCGTCTTATTGTTATCCGAGAAGTCAAAATGTATTTAGGTATACAGTAATATAGTGTAAAAGAAAAAGGTGTTACTAAATAAAGTACTTGAGTGGCCGTTAATATACCTGGGTCTGCCCAAGTAAAGTCCATGTATGGGAAGCACTGCTTATATAACGAATCTACTTAAAGAAAGAAATGATTACTTTACAAACTGTATTGTTAATAAATCAGTTGAACATTTTCATATTTGTCAATAATATTACTAAAATGTATTTAAAAACTGAATAAATATCACACATTTACACAACGAAATAAATAGACTCAATAATGGGCTAAAAATCTGTGGATTACTGCACTTACAGATTCTGTCATTACATTAAAATATTCAAGAAATACATATATTTTCAGGAAAATGTAACTTACAGATTTGGTCAGAGATCTCGCTATTACAGGGCCGACCATGCCAGGTATAGTGGCAAATGAGTTTGTAATTCCCAGCAAAATTCCAGCATAACTGTGAAGAAAAAGATACTCTAAACATACTGCAGGTAGGCCACAATTTACTCTTGACACATTCACAGAAACCATAAAAAAGCTTGTATAATTGTCAATAAAATGTCTTGTCTTACGAGGGAGCAATGTCCAGATGGTTGATGTTAAATCCAGAGGCTGAAATTCCTCCTAGGGAGGAAGAGATGGTGAGGAAGGCCACAGCCAGGATGTAGTTACAGCCAGTGTATCCTGCAGCCACCAGGAAGACGGCTGGTCCTGCCATTCCTGAACACATTCAGCACACATCATCAGTTCACTCGTCCTATCAGCATGTCTGTAACAGTAAAGTGTCTGTGAGTGCCTCACCTACTACAGTGAAAGCCTTGCGCACAATGACGGTGCGGAAAAGAAACCTCTCTCTCAGGAGGTCTGCCAATTGACCACCCAGCAAAGCCAGCAGCCAACAACCAAGATAAGGCAGAGCCGAGAGCATCCCGTTCTGAGAAATATACAATGAGCTCAGGCGTAACTAAAGAGCAAACAACTGGGTATCTTGATAATAGCCAATGATCTCTAGCTGGTGAGTTGTTTCTAGATGAAATACTAAAATGACTGTTTATGGTCAGAATGATTTATGAATACTTATGTTCAGCAATAATGTATACAATTGAATAATTGAAAGTGAAGTGATACTTTATTACAAATAATCTTTCTGAACTTTTCTGACCTGGTACCACAAGTTTTTTTTTAATTAAATTTTTGTTTAATTGAGATTTTTAGATCCTATTAAAGCTAAAGAAATAAGATATATGTTGTTGATGTCTATTAGGATCGTACAAAATTAATTTAAGACACAACTATTTCAAATCTGAAAAACAAATCTAAATACTGCTAAAATTATATTTAAAGTTGTCTCAATGAAATATTTAGCAATGCACATTAATAATCCTAAATTGAGTTTTGATATACAGTGGAATATTTACAAAATATTGTCATGAAACTTGGCCATAATATTATAATTTTGACCCATTTAGCATAATTTTAGTTATTGACAAAATATATCCATGAAATATAAGGCTTTCATGCTGTATAGAGGGGTATTGCATAAAAGTTGAATCAAGAAAGCCAGGATAACAGAAAAAGTGCAGCTTGACTTAACTTATTAGTCCGTTGCATGTTTGCTAATCCAGGATGAGAACGAGTCACTATGTTAAGCCCAGTGTACATAGCCAGGGTAAGTGCACATTCACAGTATTAGTTAACAAACCATGGGATCAATCACAGAATCTATGAGTGATCAAATGCTGCTTTTTTCAGCTTCGACTCTTAAAAACAGTCAAACCTATGTTATATAGAAAAAAAAATGGAAAAAACAATTCATGCTTTCATTACTTTTAGATTGGACTACTGTAATTTTGGGATCAGTCAGACAACTCTACCCCGCCTACAGTTAGTTCAAAATGCTGCTGCAAGGCTTTTAACCAGTACCAAAAAATATGACCACATCACAACAGTTTTACGCTCTTTGCACTGGTTGCCTATGCAGTATCGTGTCACTTTTAAAATTCTTCTCCTGGTATATAAATCACTAAATGTCCTGGCTTCTTCCTACCTGTCAGATATGCTGACTGAACATCTTCGGTCATCTAACCAGAGACCATTATACATCATAAATTCTTAAAATGTCTTAAATTTGACCAGTCGGCATTTATGCTAATAATGAATTTATAGTGAAGATTATTGCAAACACTTACAGAATATTGCAGATCGATTTTATCTTTTTAGTTTATTTTATCAAGTTTATTGAATCTTCATCATTTATATATCAATTTCATTCATATATAGCATAGAAAATATAAATAAATATAAATGAAAGTGTTTTGTTTAAATCCATCAGAATTCTTTGTCTATATTTATTAAGGAATGGATAAAAATATTGATTTTTAAAATAGACTGTACTCATTTATGTTGAGCATAGTATTTTTTCTCTTATCATCTATTTTTTGTCTCTTATCTATATCTCCCTTATTTTTAAATCTGAAATGGATTTATGTAAACATATATAAAATGATTTCTAATAAAATGTAACATATTTATTTTTAATTATAATAGCCGAGAGCATAGAGTGACTGTAAAACACATTCATTTATATTTTTTGTTCTAAGATACAGAATTATTGGAATGGAATTTTTTGAGTGCTTTCCGAGGTGTTAAAGTTGCAATTACAACCGGATCCAATGCTTTAATTTTGGGATTCTCTGAACAAATGCATATGCTGTCAAATACACAACCTAAATTGCTCTCATACTGTTTAACTACTGCCAAGAAGCTACTTCTACTGTTTTGGAAAAATAGGAATCCCCTACATGTAAACTGTGGCTTGGAGAGATGGCCTCTGTTACATTTGGAGCGAATTAGATATTATTTGAAAAAAATAAAAAACTTTAACAATTTGACAAAATTTTGAATCCTTTTATCTGTTACCTTGAAAAAAACTCATACAAACTCAACTCATCATAATAATGCATCATCTCTGAAATGTTTCAGCATACTCTGTTGTTCAAACAGGTCTTTGTAACAAGTTTGCTTGTTATGTGGGTGTTTTTCCTTTTCTATTTATCAATTTTTTTCTTATTTGTTTTGCCTAGGTGAAATGTGGACAAAATATGTAAAGAGATGATTCTTTTCTTTCTGAATCTGTCTTCAATAAAACTTATTAGACAAAAAAAACACCTTCATTTCTTGCAGCATTGACAAAGAAACTAACAGATAAATCACTAGGATTATGCTTAGCCTGGCTGTTAGCCTGCTTTTGAGCAGAATAGCTCCAAAGAATAAGTGTCCATAGTAACTTAATTTAGCTTAATTTGGGCTGTTTTCATGCAACGGAGTCAAGGCTAAATTCAGCCAGTATATCCTTCAAATTCTAGCTTAATCCCTTATCTTACTTTTGTGCAATAGCCCTCAGGGTCACATTTCTGAAAAATCCTGTAAATAAACAAAGAAGTATGCAAAAAATATTATGCAACTCTTGTGTTACTAGTAAGAAATATTATTGCGCAACAAATCAGCCTATTGGAATGATTTCTGAAGGATCGCGTGACACTACAGACTGAAATGATGTTGTTGACCATTAAAGTAATATATTACATTTTACAGTATAACAATACAAACCAAGAAAATGTTATTGTATATTTCATAATGTTAATTTGCACTTCATTTTTACACAGTAGACGTTCATTAATAAATCCCTTTCTGGACGTGGAAAAAAGTTTCCAAAACTTTTAAAAAAATTGTTACCAGTGACAATTGTTTTAACAGTTTTATTTGGTACATAAAAAAATAATAATAACAATAATAATTTATATGAATAACAAACTATTATATTGTAATATAACTCTTAATATTAATAACTATAAACATTATAGTATTATATATCACATTCTGCATGCTAATCTTCAATATTACCATACAAAACATGCAAAACATGAACAATTAAATGGCCAATATTATAATTTGGAAAAAGGACATCAGTCCTGCTTTATTTCTTTACCTGCTGAATGCTGAAGCCGAGAACATCATTCATGTAGGTGGGTAAAAGAGTCAGAAGAGTATAGAAGGTCCAGTTGTAAGAGAAATGTGCCACAACTATTGCCCATAAAGGCATAGACTTGAAGATTGATGTCCATGGGATGTAATCTTGGGTGGGGGACAGCTGTGCAAGAAATGGCACAATCTAATAAACAGCCAATAAAGGACTCAAACCTTAACTGGATCGAGAATAAAGACTCTTGAAGATAAATACTATGAGATAACATACTTCATTCTTTAAAGATGACATTATGTAGGTCTTTTCAGCCTCTGTGATTCTTTTGTGTGAGCTGGGACTGTTACTGACGAAACAAATCCAAAGGAAAAACCAAAGAAGGCCAACAGCTCCTATAATTTGTAAAAAATACAATTAAAAAAGAAAAGAAAAAGAAAGCATTGTTGGTTTCACACTTAAAGCTGCTTATGCACAAAGTTCACTTTTACATGTGTATTATAAATAATCTTACCAAATATATAAAACACATATGTCCAGTCTAGATAAAAACAGATCTGTCCAGAAAGAGGAAGGGCCACTACAGTTCCAAGCTGAGCACCTGTAAAAGGAAAACAAACTTATATTAAAGAACACACTAAACGTTTGAAAAGACTGTTACAAATCAAAGCACATGAGTTTTTGTAACCTGTGTAAGATATAGTGAGCAGTCGACTTCTCTCCAGAGGTGGAGCCCATGAAGCCCACATTGCATGCATTGCAGGATATGTCACTCCCTAGAAATCCAAAAAGAAACATTTATTTTTTTTAAATATTAATAACACCCTTATCAACTATCACACCAATTAAACAGTAGAGACATTTCAACTCAGAGACAATTCAATTTAAACATTAAACTTTTATGAAAAATCTTAATATTATATTAGAGCTGAACTATATATGCTTTTAGCTTTGATATTGCAATGTGTGAATACAAAATAGCCACATCGCAGGATCTGCAATGTAGAGTCTGGATTATAGTTGAACAGGTAAACAGTTCAGAACACATTCAAACTGACGAGTCATTTTAGTGTAACCATAGTACATTGAAGTTTATCATTTGTATGTTATCAGTAGGCATTTTAGGTGAGTTTAAAGTGTTAAGGCACAAGGAAACTATTACATTATGTAGCTTTAAAAAAAAAATCTATTTTATTGAATTATTTATACAATGAAAACTAGACAACTTCAATGTACATTGATTAGTTTATTTCTGTACCCGAATAGTGTCTATTAATATTGTTGCTCTACTTAATTTATCTATGTGGGTAATTCCCACACAAATTATATTTTCTGCACTCTGCAAAATTATCCCAAAGAATATAAAAGTATTTGTTATTTCCAACTTGAGTTACTCAAGTTATTTGGTAAAATACTGCAATATAAAACTCGGAATATATATATATATATATATTTTTTTTTTTTCATTATTGAGCATTCCCAAAACTGTTTTTGAGAAAATAATGCAAAGTATCATATATATATATATATATATATATATATTTTTTTTTTTTTTTTTTCCATCTGATTTATACATATATATCTGATATCTGGTGTGTGAGTGTGTGTGTGTGTGTGTGTGTGTGTGTGTGTGTGTGTGTGTGTGTATATTTAAGTAAGACTAATGGAAGCAGGCAAACCACTGCCTCTAGGTATGCAGATGTCACATGCAATAACAAATGTCGCAAGTTATCTTGCATTTGGAGACCGATTCTTGATGTCGTCATTTAACGCTTTTTATGCAACATTCCAAAATGTGCATAATAATATTTAGATGTAACCAAAGCTATTGACAAACAAACAATGCAGAAAATACAAAAGGTAATAATATTTGAGGTTACCTCCCCAATGCCTTCCAGCACCCTGACAGCGATGAGGTATCCTGCTCCCAAATCAGCAGCTAACGGAGTCAGCAGAGTAAAGATCACAGTGCAGAGGATGCCAAGACCCAAAAGCCACTTGGCACCATACTTGCGCGCCAAGTAACCACCTGGTATCTGAGTAATTATATATCCATAGAAAAAAGAGCCCAGGATCCAGCCCTGAGTCTCTGAGTTCCAGTCGTATACCATGGCCTGTTGAGATAATCAACATGTTCAAAAGAACAATTATTTAAGATATAAACTACTACACACACTTGCACACATTTCTTACAGTCTTTTAGTTTTATTTAGAAAAATACAGTTAAAGTCAGAACTATTATCCCCCCAGAATTATTAACCTACCGGTTTATTTTTTCCCCAATTTCTGTTTAATGGAGAGCAGATTTTTTTTAACACATTTATATGTTGAAAACATATAAGATAAACATAATAGTTTTAAAAACTAATTTCTAATAACTGATTTATTTCATCTTTGTCATGATGACAGTATATAATATTTTACTAAATATTTTTAATTTAAGACACTAGTATTCAGCTTAAAGTGACATTTAAAGGCTTAACTAGGTTAATTAGGTTTACTAGGCAGGTTAGGGTTTTTAGGCAAGTTATAGTATAACGATGGTTTGTTCTGTAAACTATCGAAAAAATATAAAGCTTAAAGGGGCTAATAATTTTGATGTTAAAATGGTTTTAAAAAATTAAAAACTGCTTTATTTCTAACTGAAATTTTCTAATTATTCTAACTGAGACTTTCTCGAGAAGAAAAAATATGATCAGACATACTGTGAAAATGTCCTTATTCTGTTAAACATCATTTGGGAAATATTTAAAAAAAGAAAACAAAATTCAAAGGAGGGCTAATGATTCTGACTTCAACTGTACATATTAAAATTGGTAATATTTATAAAATATTTTCTACTATTGTTTATATGAACATAAAAAATTCAGAAAGTAAAAAAAGGTTAAAATGTATATTTTTTTACACACTTAAAAGACATAATATCATATATTGTATATACTGTAATATATAACATATAATGATAAGACACACACATTTTATAACATGAAGTCCATGGAAAACAGAAATGTTAAACAATTTAATACATTTTAAATGATGACAATACTAATTATATTACATGTGACATTTCACATGTGACAATGATCCAATGTACTAATTGAGCCCGTGTTATTAGTTTCAGCAGTTGTTGTCTGGAAATAACATACATTGGATTGTTGTGACTGGCCAATCAGAATGTAAAAGAGAGCAATTCAATTAGGCATGGGCTGATATAAGATTCTGCCGGTATGATAATCTTGGATAAAAATATCACGGTATTGTGATTAGTGCTCTAATACAGTGGTTCTCAAAGTGGGGGTCAACAATAAAGGGCGGTCATTTGGTGATTTCCAAAAATCTACTTGTTTTTATTAAACCATAAGAATTACCATATTTTATCCATAATCAGACAATGCTTTCCCTGAAGAGAAAAAAATAGTTGTTTATAGCTACTATATAATACATAGTTACTATAGTAGCTTAAAGTTACTAGTTGTATTGGATTGCGAACCCTGGGGTAATCTTTATAAAACCAAGTTAAACTTTCTGGCCCATTTACCACACTCACAAACATTAAAAAAATAAACAAAGAATAGACTTGGGTCTATTGGAGTGTGTGCGCCATTGCATGCAGGGTTTCTGTATTTATAACCACCTCAGAGGATATTGGGCGTCACGAGTCATTGGCATTGTCATTTTGTTGGTGGCGGGCTGAAAAGTTTGGGAACCCCTGCTCTAATATATGCTCTTAAATTTCTAAGTAAAAAAAAAAAAAAAAAAACTTTTCCCCTTTGAACAATATATTTTATGACAAGAAACATTTTTAAAATGTTAGAACAGTAGCTAAACATGTCAGGGTAAATAATTCAAATAAATCATTGATGTCTGCTGTCGTCATTACTTTTAAAAACAGGAATTTTTTTACCATTTAAAATGGCATGTATGGGAATCTTTTCTGCTGGAGATAATGTTGTCTTAAAAACATAAAAATAAAAAAGCGTAAATATACCATAGGAACGGTACAGCAGAAGATTTTGGTGGTTTAAAAACCTTGACTTTTCCAAGTCGTGGTAAATCTTAATAACGGTTATCGTCCCATGCTTAAGTGCAATCTATAATATATTATGCACATTGTAATACATCCTAGCATAAGAGAGAAAGAGAGAGAGAGAGAGAGAAAGAGAGAGAGAGAGAGAGAGAGAGAAAGAGAGAGAGAGAGAGAGAGAGAGAGAGAGAAAGAGAAAGAGAGAGAGCAAATGATATGGACAAAGAGAAAATGATATGGAATATGTTCTTACGGTGTGATTGTGTTTGGGTACAGGGATGTTGTGAGGAGGGCAGATGGAGGAACTGGTGTTTGCTTTTGAACTGTTTTTCAGCATGTCCACCATCGCCACACTAAGGTTCACCCTGAGGGCATATGCCACAAAGAAGCCATAACACGACAAAAACGCCAACCCGTATCGAGAGGAGCCACATGCAGGTGCTGGAAGAACAGACAGGAACCAATGTCAAACATCGATCTTAAAATATCTCTTATCATTTCCTCACCCTGACAGAGCTGTAGGACTTTGTGTGCACAAGTTGTGAAAGTGTTTGCAGACTCAAATGAGTGTGGTAAGATAAAACAATAGCGTCCAAACCTACAATAGTATTCACCTATTACACAAGCAAACGACACTCATCATGAGGTTATTTTCATCATTTAGTAGGAAGAATAGAATTGTCACAGGTTTAAATCAGCCTGGGGGAATTTATTATTATTTTTAACTTTAAGATGATTTAATTAAAATCTAATTTACTTTCAAACATAAAGGAATAGTTTGCCCCAAAACTTCTGCATTTACTCACCTCACCTTTAACTTGTTCCAAAATCTTTTTCCTTTAAAATTGGAGATTTTTTTGAAGAATGCAAAAACCTGTAACCATTGACTTACATAGTATATGTTTTTCCTTCTATGCATTTCAAAGGTTACAGGTTTTCAGCTTTCTTCAAAATATCTTCTTTTTGTGTCTGACAGAAGAAAGAAACACATAAAGGTTTCGAGTCAACTATCCTGTTAAGGCAAGGGTGTTCAACCTTGTTCCTGGAGATCTACCTTCCTGCAGAGTTCAGCTCCGACCCTGATCAAATACACATGAACCAATTAATTAGGACCTGAACAGCACTCGATAATTACAGGCAGGTGTGTTTGTTATGGATTGCAACTGAAATCTGCAGGAAGGTAGATCTTCAGAAACAGGGTTGACCACCTCTGCTTTAAGGGGAGTTAATATTCATCGCAAATAGTTTAGAGGCTTTTCTTTCACTTACTGAAACAAAAGTACCAAATTCCACAGAGCAACTTTTCCATCGAAATCTGTTACTATTTACTATTTCAATTACAATTTTATTCTGTTCTGCCCATCACAAAATAAAGTTTTCAGCAATCTATCACTATAAGTGCATTGATCATATAAAAGCATTTAGTACACCCAAAAATCACCTCAACAATAACACTTACCCTAATGACAAAGAATAAAACAATTACTATTCGTTTTTTTTATTTTTTAATTATTTATTTTTTTAAATACCCATTTCACCTAAAGTGTCTTGGCTTAAAAGTACTTTAATACTACTATTAATCCTTCTAATAATAATAATAATAATAATAATAATAATATTAAAAATAAAAATAAGAATAATAACTAGGGTTGCTCTGATCGATCGGCCAGAGATCACTATCGGCCGATAATTACATTTCATAACTCGATACTCGGTAATCTGGCCTACCTCATGAAAGGAGCACAATTGTTTGTTCATGAGTTTACAAACAGAGGGCATATAAGAACTGAAATCTTATTTTAAATATCAGAATTAAAAGTTCTGGGTTTTCAACAATATTGCAGACTCATTAAAAACTGGCAGTAAATATTAGGGAAATAAAAAACAAACAAAAAATATTTTTAACTTTTCTTAATAATATAACATCATAATACACTTATTGCAATAAACAGTAGTTTATGGACCTTTCTTTTAATAAAGAAGTTTTGGATTTATAGGTGTGCACTTCTTATGCATCAAATATGCGCTTCAAACTTCATTGAGACATTTTGAATTCTTCTTTCATCATTTGCAATGGTTCTGAATCGCTTTGTTAGTCATTTTTTGTATCTATTTTATCTATTATTTTCTGTGAAGCTACTTAAAACCATTATGTCCACACTTAATGGTTGTGAGACATGTTTAAAGAATTATATGCTACATCTTTATTCCCTTAGGTAAGCAGAGATCTCAACTTAAGTTTCATACTTGGAGGGGACATATGTTATACTGTATGCCTTATAAAGCTTAAAGCATCAGAAAAGGTACTTGGTTTCAGAAGATCACCATCTCAAGGAATTGGTACTCGGTAGCTGCAAAATTCCTGATCGGAGCATCCTTAATAACAGCCATAACTACAATAACAGTAAAACATCCACTAGTATATTTTGACATATTAACCGTATGCTATCTGATAAGTGAAAGCGGACAGAAATATTCGGGCTGTTATTATTAATGTATATTAGAGAACTAACGTTACACTATCGTGACGGTTAACTTAACTGTTACCTGCATGACTATCACTTCCTCCTTCACGCGACTTTCTGTTGAGAGAAGCCCATCTCAAAAGCTAACGTTAATGCATTATTAATTTAACGTCAGATGAGACCATAACACTCATCTAAAGTGATCAAGTCTGCACTTTTAGGATGAACTGAACAAATGAGACGTTATAGATGAAGTTACTACTAGTTCTACCATTAGTTTATTCCAGCAAATAGTCAAGTCGTACAGTACATAGTCTCCAAACCACTATTAAAACTACATTAGCACGTTCAATATCACTTCTGAAGTAACTGTTTACCTTAACGTTCGTAAGTTATCACTGATAATATCGCACATATGGTACTGTGCACTGTTCAGTAGTCAGCTCTGCATACATATGTAAAAAGACAAACGTTGTTAATATCTTGCTACCTTTCTGGATGTCTTCGGTGTCTTTCCGGCGAAGTAAAGGTTGGGCATGATCTTCAGATTCAGAGTCTGATGCTGAAAGCTCCATCATCCCCGCCGGTCAGAAGAACAACAACACACTCCAGTGTCAACGCAAAACCAAACCCGTGCTTCACCGTCAGCATAAACAAGTGTCATAATAAAAGTCCTCCGGTCACCAGACAGTTTTGATCGTTGAACACCAGAAAATATTCACAATGTGTTTGAAGGTCAGTGGGCTTTTCCCCCAATGAAGTTCATTTTAAATTATTATTTTACCATAAATACTGTATTTTTATATCAAACGATGAGGGCTTAGGAGTGTAATCGATGACAGACTGTTTTCACTAACGTTAGTTGAAGTCTAGTTGGCGGGCTTTAAATATTATATTTAATCGTTAATCGTTAGACACTGAGATTAGGTAAATTATTAAAGCCGTAACGTTAGATGATTTAAGGGATTTGTATTTCAAAACGTACTCTATACCTGAAGAATTATGTTCTCTTTTAAGAAATTAGAGTCAATGGAAAATGGAAATTGCTGGTGTTTTAAATCAGTTTTTTTTTCAGGCTGGCAATTGACATTTTTTGCCAGGTGATTCAGAAAATAATGCATGAAGTGCTTCGAACTCATTGACTTCTTTAGCCACACTAAGGAAGTTAATGGGGACCTGTGGTTACCTATATTCTTACAAGTATGTGCAAATGTGCTTTGGAAAACAAATAAATCAAACATATATGCGTACACCCCTCGCAAATCTATGTTTTAAATTCATATTTTTAATAGGAAGCTATACAATATTATATTTGTGCATATACATTAGATTAGTCAGCCAAATCTGGAGTTTATCTAAAAAATAACTTACAATAACGGTTCAAAAACTAGTACACCCAATTTTATATGCTATAGAAAAAATATTGAATACAAATTTAAACAGAAGCAAAAAAAAAAAAAAAAATGAAGGGAAGTAAAATAAAAAAAAAAAAAAATTTGTTAAAATTTTGCTTGAATTTAATTTGTTTGACTATTAATGCGCAAAAGGAAAGTCACAGCAGAGCTTTCCTTACTAATAATATATCAAATAAGTATATATATATATATATATATATATATATATATATACACACACACACACACACACACACACACACACACACACACACACACAATAATATTACATTCATACTGCACACCTTAGTTCCAAAAATAAGTAACACTTGTCCATATAAATATAAAAAGAAGTAAAAAAAATCAAGAAAAGAAAAAAAAAAAGAAAAATATAATTAAAATTTTGCTTGAATTTAATTGTATTATCTTTCAATTTCTAAATATGTTTGGTGACTAAAATATTAATTTAATAAATATATCGGTTTAAAAAATCTGTTGTGTTTAAATGCACCAAAATACATTCCATTGTCAATATGGGGTTTACTTAATTATGCTGAGCACTGTAAATATATTAAAAAAAAACAAACAAACAAACACACATATAAAAATATAAATACTGTACGGGAAATATTTTTTAGGGAGTTATTGATATCAATTTAGATGAAATTTACAATTGATACTCTATTTATTAATTTACTTTTCTGTATAGTTGCTTTGAAATAAAATCCATCATGGAAAGTGCTTTATAAATGACAATCATCTCTCTCTTTCTCTATCTCTCTCTCTTACACACACACACATTAGGTTTTCATAAAGAACCACAAAATTGATGCTGTAAAAGGAACCTTATGAAAACATTAAAATTCACTGGAGGTTTATTGGAAACTGAAAAAAAATTGTCGTGCATACAACACATTCAATATGCCAAGTTACCAATACATTGTAGAGTAGTAAAAGATGACAGATATGGCAAATGTTCAACATCAGTTTATTGTGCAAAAGAGTACACTGACAAAAAGGCAAATATGAAGAACTGACTAAAGAATGAGTATAAGCTTTTCTCCAAATGAATAACAGTTTTTTAATAAAGACTTCTCAAATCTGTGAAATTCCTGCACAGATTGTATATAAATATGTATACACTTATCAGACTTAAAATAACGTTTTAAAACATGTAGTTTGTGTTTCAGTTGTGACTAGTGTTTCAATATCATCATTACATAGGATTAGAGCATTCCAGCACCCCGTCTCTTATTAAAAAACACACACAATGCCCCGAGTTTACAATACAACATGCAAATGTAAAGTACATTAGTAGAGCATGAAATACTTGGTAAGTTACTGAGGTTATGAGTATAGTTATGAATGTCAAAGAGCTATTCTCCTGGATATGACTCGACCTTCCCTGATAGCATTTACAGTAACAAAAATCATTTCTGTTCATTGATAGTTCCTACCAATGACTCTTAACCTGCTTTAAAAGTTTTTTTTTTTAATTCCTCTTACATTACACAGAACTTTCCAGCTGTTCAACTTGCGGAAAACCCATCAAAACCAAAATCAGTACATCAGAGACCCAGTTTACCACAAGCCTTAAATGTGTAGCTTGTCAGTAGTAGTACAGTATTTAAGAACTAAACCTTTAACTTTCTACTATCTCTATCCCAACTGACTTCAACAAACATAACGGTCAGAATCCATACGAAAGCAATATGATAAAAACATCACTGGCAACAATGCCTGGTTTTTTAAATTGGTCTTTTGATCACAAGGATACATGCACTACTATAATAACAATACATCATATATATATAAAAAGAATGCAGTTTACCAGCAACTGCAAAAAAATATTAAGTATCATAAAAAACAATGGTCCACAACATCCTTAAGGACTGAGATGTTCATTTTACTGAACAAATGACAAAAGTCTTCGCCTCAATGCAACGCTCGCATCCTGCAGAAAAGAGCAGTCAATTAAGAATGCACAACCTAAAAGAGGAGATGTACAGTCCTGGAGTACACTCACTACTACTGGCACCACTGGTAAATACGAACAAAGAAGGCAACATCGTTTGACATTTTTGATTTGACATTTTTGGGGGGATTTCCAAAATCTAATTCATTTTATTAAACTATTAGAATTACCATATTTTATCAAAAACCTACAGAAGAAAAATTTTGAAGGCAATAGTTACATAAAAAAACAACATGCAAATAAAAAGCCATCAGCCTAACGTTTCTTTTTTTTTTTTGCAACTCCTAGGGTGATTATGTTAGAATAAAAACACAGCAAATGCGTCAGATGCAGCACATTGATTTTATGGAAAACTTTCACACCTTTACGGCATTCACGTTTAAATGAGGAATAGACTTGGGCCTACTGTGTGTGCTGTTTATATATTTATAACCACATAAGAGGATATTGGGGGCCATGAGTCACTGGCATTGTTATTTTGGGGGTCATGGGTTGAAAAGTTTGGTGAAGATTGTAGTTTTCAAGACTTTCTCAGCCCAAGCCCCAACTAAGGCTGCATTTACATGAGTGTATTTCATTTATAAATGTAGACTGGTGTTTGTACTATATTTCAGAAAAACAGTCTCTGTCTACACTCTATCGCCTAAAATGTGACCATCTCACTGGACATGTGCATATTTGGTCAGCATTGCAGTCTACTGGTTGTCTGATGTCATATTAGAGGGGCTTGGTGAATCAGGGAACGATCAGCATTAGTCCAGAAGAACAATCAGGGAGTGATTGTGGATAGTCACACCTCGTGTTTCAGCCTGTCTATATTAAAACAGAACCCCTAGCATTTAAGAGCTAAATCATTTTCCTGGGTCAAAGATGCCGAAGTAGTGCAGATGCCAGGTGTAAACGTAATTAAACCTATATTTTTAAAAACAAAAACGCACTAGTATTAATGGCAACTAACTTCTGCGATTCTCCAGCTGTGAATGTTAAGATGTTTTGGCAGCCTGAACTCTCCTCCTGACAGAGAGACACAATGTTCACTGGAATTTCTTATTGGCCTGATGGTGAAAATGAGCTTTTTTAAGCCACAGCCCATAGTTTGAAGCTAAAGGAATGCTGTAAATTCCATCATATACAACATAGACTCATTCTGAAAATGTAGCCCTATACACATTTCTGGACATCGTGAATTATGTAGCCTGAGCCACGTATGGCTGCATTTCATCTTTAAAATAAACACTACGGAGCGGTATGACGCCGTTCCATTTATCGCTTACCAGCTGACTGCTTGCCCCTGTATGGCTTTTCTGCTGTTTCCAGTTTGTCTGGTAGCTTGACATTTACATCGGCGGACTTGGGGCGCAGCGGAGCGGAGTTGAAAACAACAATGGGGTTCGAGTTGACAGCGGCCTCTGGTGGATGTACATGAAAACAGCAGGCGTGAATGGCACTCGCAAAAGAAATCTGAAAACTGAAAAGGCATACACAGCGGCCTCTAGTGGATTCGTGAAAACAAAAACAACAAAAAAACGTAGCTCCTGGGATGTATTTTGCTCTCTCCAGAAATGTATATAGGGGTACGTAATCAGAATGAGCCTGGGTTGATCATGTAGGTCCTAATAATTAGAGCACACATATTCATCAACAATATATATATATTTTTTTTTATATATAAAATTATATGTTGTTTGCAATTGTTTGTTGAGTTTTTCTGCTAATATTTTAAGCAAAGGATCACAAAGTTAAACAGAGACATTTTCCACAGCCTTCTTTGCTCATATTTACCAAGGGTGTCAATATTAAGGGAGAGCACTGTACATTGTATGAGTAATGTGCAAAGCATACTCAAACACAATACAAACGCTGCTCTTTCTCTGCTAACCTGAATGTGTTTGAACAATTCTAATGAAGCAGATAAAACGTGCAGGTTAGGTGCAGCTTCTCTCTCGTGACACTCGTGTGCCACTTCCCAAAACCTTATGAAAATAGTGAAGACAGAGCATAAAATCCGCTGCATCTGTCAGACGCATCCTTCCTTCCCTATTTTCCTCCAGCACATTCCGTTTCCCTTCGGCTTTTTCACTCAAAACATTGCAGACGTCAGCAGTGTTCCTGGGGAAGCAGAGGACTCAGTTTTGAGAGGATTTGCTCTTCTTCAGTTTGCTGAAGTGTTGTCGTCGAGCTGTTCTGACAGGACGGGGAAGTTTTGGATCTGCCGGTAAACGAAGTAGAAGATCTGTGGCTGCGGCCGGCTGTGCAGTTCAGCCTTGATCTTCTGCGGGTGCGTGTCGAGCGTCAGCTGCTGCGTGGTTTCTTCTGTCAGGAGGAAAAGAGCGTAGTTTTCCGGGTCTGAGATTTTAAACTTGTCTGCGCAGATCTGACACACGTCCTCTGTTGTGGCATAAGGCTGAACCTGAAGGGTTTTGGCTGTGCAGCCGCTGCTTGCATCTTGCAGTGCCACCCGCAAATAGTTCTGAATATCCATGAGGAGAAATTCAGATGTAAACATCACAATTTAGCAAGATATTAACTATCATAATAAAATAATGACTCTTAATTTTCATGAACATTATTATTGTAAATAGCTACTTTTCAACCCAATATATAAATATAGCAGTAATAATAATGAAACTATATAATAATAATAAAATAACAATTTCCATCAGGGATGCTCCGATCGATCGCCTGGAGATCGGTATTGGTCAATAATCACATTACATGACTCGATCGGTGCTCGCCAATCTAGCAGATCTTATGAAGCAATTGCTAGTGTTTACAAGGAGAGGAAGATGCACGTGCACATCTGGGTTACACAGATAGCAGCAATCTAACATGTGAGGAGGTTAATGATGCTTGGGGGTAGGGCTGTGCGATTTGGGGAAAATATCTAATTGCGTTTTTTGACAGATATTGCGATTGTGATTTGATTTACGGTTTAATTCAAGCTGATTTTAATTTGATTAAAGCTTCAGCTTAATAATCTGTAAGCCGTGGCAACAATGCTGTCACAGCTCTTAAAAATGACTTGTTTTTGCTCGGTGTCTGTGAGTTTAAAAGCAAACTATTCCCATATAACAATAGTTTTTTCTGTTATATTAACTTGTCTATTAATGCTTCTGAAGCAGCAGACGCCATCATTCCACTTGTCAGCTCTTTTATTGTGGGCGGAGTTCAGTTGCGCAATTCTGATAGGCAGAGCGAAAGTGTGCTCACTCAATTGGCTCACATGATTCACATGATTCGGCACAATTTCCTTGACGTAGAGTTCGTGTGGAGCCGTAAACGACAAATGGACATTGTGACACAAGATTCCATCGTATCTCCTAATGTAATGTGGCATAGTTCATGACAACCGATACCATGTCTGCGATGCCTCACAAAAACCATCGCAGACAGTCTAGCATGTTTAATTTTCTGAAACAAAGCTTGAAGATGTTATTCGTTATTTTTGTTTACATATATACATATACATTTTATATTGCAGCCATTTCAAATTGCAATTGTGATTCGATTTTGATTAATCGCAAAGCCCTAAGTTGTGGTTTGAGAGATCACTGCACACGCGTCATAGCAGCTAAAATTTACACAGATGTGGTGCGACCTCTGATTATACAGTTTATTGGAGCAACTTACGCGAGTTATGGTCTCATTGTTGCTAAGGTGTTGCTAGGTGATTGATAAGACGTTGCTAGGTGGTTGTTAAGGTGTTGTTAGGCGGTTGCTAAGCTGTTCTTAGGTGGTTGCTAAAGTGTTCTAGGTCATTGCTAAGGTGTTTTGATTGGTTGCTTGGCACCTAGCTAGATGTTGTTAGGTGACTGCCAATGCATTGCTAGGTGGTTGCTAGGCAGTTGCTAAGTTGGTTCTAGGCAGGTTGCTAAGGTTTTGTTAAGGTGTTCTGAGTGGTTGCTAGGCAGTTGCTAACATAAATTAGTATGGTTCTAGTTTGAATTAGCATGTTGCTAGTATGTTTAAAGTTTGAATTAGCATGTTGGCTGATATGAATTAGCCTGTTGCTAGTATGATCAGTATGTTTGTTAGTATGTTTTTAATATGGATTAGTATGTTGTTAGTATGTCCATTGTAAAGGCAATGGCAGTTTTTTACAATGGAGTCTATAAGACAGTTGCTAGGGTGCTGTAATTTGTTGCTAGGGTGTGGCTAGAAAGTTGAAAGGTGATCAGGGATTGGCAGATTGGTTGTCTTAGTTAAATGAACTCAAACTTAAGTCTGTATGACACAAAGTTTGGTCCAATATTGAGTCAATGGGACTTTTCCGAATGTTCCGGTCAATTATTGGAAAACCATAAGTCAGGTCAGTTGGAAAAATATAGCAACCCGATCACCATGACAAGGAACCGGTATTACAAAAATCCTGATCGAAGCATCCAATCTTCATTAATGCTAACTAAATTTAGTTAAATATATACAATTATATAAATACACTTTATATAAAATATAAACTATTTTAGCTATTAACATTAGCATTTTTTAAAAATATAAAATAATGCAAACACATTATTATTTTTACCTATTATTGTATAATATTATTTGATTTAATCTATATATTTATATATATATATATATATATATATATATATATATATATATATATATATAGTAAGTCTATGATTAGCTAAATACATTTATTTACAGTAAGAGCATTACATATTATCAATATTACTATTAATAGTAATAATACTGTTCTAAATATTATTGCTTACAGCTATATACATATAATTATTTTATTACTTTTTACTGTTCATATTTTTTATTATTATTATTATTAGTAGTAGTAGTAATAGTAGTAGTAATTATGTCAAACAGGATTTTTACATCATATATTTTTGCTAGATTTATTCTTAGATTTATGATCAAATTTGCCTAAATGTATACCCATATTATTTTAGAACATAAATGTGTATGTATAAATGAGAGATTAACCTGGAAATCATCCACAGATGGTGTGGTTCTCTGAGTTGTGCGTCTGCGGTGCCACTGGTGCAGTGTGTTTCTGGTCTCGGAGCTCAGCTCACGAGCAGCCTGATCCTCCTGGAAGTTCTTGATCAGAGACATTGCACCATATGCACTGGTCAGGTAATAACCTCCTACAGTCCGATGGAAAATATTAGAATAGTCAAACATTTGCAAACCAATAACTTCAGCATGAGTCCAGAATTTGTCTACTGTACCTTCTCCATGCAGCAGCGACGGGTCCAGTAGCTCCATCATGTACTGTATTTCAGTATCCAGCTCTGGCATGTCGCACTGGGCCATCACATATGTCAGCATGGGCAAGAAATCATCCGCCCCATACATCCTCCCTGCCATTAAAACAACACAGAAACAATCCATGAGTCTGTGCACAAATTCTGCAATCATCATGTACAATCCACATCAATCATGTAGTTTAGAGAGGTGCAATATTATTATTATTATTATTAGTAATACACCCATAAAACCATCTGATTTGAACCTTTCCCCACACAATAATGATAATAAATCTACAATCTCTTAATTCCAAAATTTAATTTAGCCTCTAAATTCTAAATAAATGTACTATTAGTATGTGTGCAATACAGTTTGTATTAGCCTTAGCATTTGCATTAGCCTGTTTACAAAATCAAAAGACATTTACTAAACGTTAACTCCAAATTCCCTTCAAGAAATAAATTGAGGGGTTAAATTAACTTCTTTTTGAGACCAGACGTGTTTTCATGCCATAGATTGAAAAAAAAAAAATCATCCTAACTTATAATATTGTATACAGTGATAAAAGCTATGTTGATTAGCAGCATGTTGATTAGCAGGATGGCTTAATAATAAAATGAAAACGTAATAAATAATAAAAATCTATACATTTGCAGTGTTTCAAGGGATATTTACTGACTATTTTAGAGGTTACTTTAGGTCAAACTATACAAATGTGTCTAATTTTTTCTTTTTTTTAAGGCTACAAGCAGATATAAACACCTATTTTACAGTCTATCGCTGCTCTATAACTGCCAGTTTCAGACTTGCTGATATTTTTCCTAGCACTGATTGCCGCATTATGCATTCACAATGGTATAAACCGTTATAGGGGTGATCAAATGTATATTTATATTACACATTTTTAATTATTAATATTTAAGATATATATCAGAGATCAGAGAAAGCTATTTCTTACTATTAAAGAGGCTGATCCCCCACACATCTTGCTTTGATGTCCTTCAGGGGGGGATCAAGTGTTGATCAAGATGTCAATCCCCCTCCCAAACCCTCTGTAATTCGCACCCAGCTTGAATAACACAGATAAACTATACATTGAGAAAATTGTGTGTTTACTGTGTTCATGTTTGATCAATTTCAGCTATAGTCTTTATTTCAGTAAATGAAACCTATTATGTGCGCACATGACGCTATTTGTGGTTTAAAAACTAGAAAAGATAATACTTCTCTGTATGAGATACATAACTTTTTTTTGTCTCTCAACGAATACACTTAAAATATCAACGCCTATATAGTCATTGCAATAAATCCCAGAAAAGATTGTGATATACTGAAGATGGCCCATATCGACTGTCCCTAATGTAGTTCACACAAGAGCATCTCAGTACTCAGTACCTGAGTTGTTCTCCATGATGGTGTAGATAAGTTTGCACACACTGAGCAGCAGAGACACTTTCTTCTCTGGTGAGTACATCTTGCACATGTTGTTGAATTTGTGTCGGATCTTCTCTATGGCCACCGGGTCGGGGGGCCGAGCTCCATCTACACCCATTTCCTGCGGCTGCTTGGCTTTGGCCAGAAGCAGATTCTCCTTCAGCTGCTGCATGGTGCCGCTGCTCAACTGGAAGTCTCGCAGAGCTGCCTCGATCACAGGCTTCAGCGGCTTCAGCACACACTTGTGCATGGCTTTCTCCATTACCTGATCTGTGGAGGACGAAAATGTGATATAGTAATTACAATGAAACAACTGTACAGAGTACAGAGTGCAGTATATAGATGTTTAAAGTCCAGAACCAGAAACAAGGTCTAAACATTTCATGTGACTTCAGTGCTTAAACTGTAATCACGTTAAGCTTCAGGAACACAAATATCTGTTCGCTTTTGTCTTTCATGTTAAGAGACATACAGCTGAAGTCAGAATTATTAGCCCCCCTTTGATTTTTTTTTCGTCTTAAAATATTTTCAAAATGAATTTAACAGTGCAAAGGAGATTTTCACAGTATGTCTGCTAATATTTTTTCTTCTGGAGAAAGTCTTATTTGTTTTATTTCGGCTGAAATAAAAGCAGTTTTTATTTTTTAAACCATTTTAAGGTCCAAATTATTAGCCCCTTTAAGCTATATTTTTTCAATAGTCTACAGAACAAACCATCATTATACAATAACTTGCCTCATTACTCTATCCTGCCTAGTTAAACTTATTAACCTAGTTAAGCCTTTAAATGTCACTATAGGCTGGATAGAAGTGTCTTGAATATCTAGTCAATTATCATTTACTGTCATCATGGCAACGATAAAATAAATTAGTTATTAGAAATGAGTAATTAAAACAATTATGATTAGAAATGTGTTGAAAATTATTTCGCAGTGGGTAGCGCTGTCGCCTCACAGCAAGAAGGTTGCTGGTTCAAGCCTCATTTCTGTGTGGAGTTTGCATGTGTTTGCGGGTGCTCCGGTTTCCGCCACAAGTCCAAAGAAATGCACTTTAGGTGAATCGGGTAAGCTAAAATTGGCCGTAGTGTGTGTGAATGAGAGTGTATGGGTGTTTCCCAGTGATGGGTTGCAGCTGGAAGATAAGTTGGCGGTTCATTCCGTTGTGGTGACCCCTGATTAATAAAGGGACTAAGCCGAAAAGAACATGAATGAAAAAACTTTTTCAGAAAGAGTTCTGGTGGAAACTTTCATGACAATGTTGACATTTGCATGGAATTGCTGTTACTTTTAAATGATATTACATAATAATACAAAAGCTTTACATTTTAGATAAATGGCATTCTTTTTTTCTGTTCATGCATCATGAGTTATGAAAAATAAAGCAAAAATTGGAACAAACAACTGTTAAAAATGTAGAATAACAAAAACAAATGGTTTAACGGCAGAATTTCTGAAGGGGATCTTGTGAAGAATGTGGAGACTGAAGTAATAATGCTGCAAAATCAGCTTTATATCACTGAAATAAATTGTTACCTTTTCTACTTGATTTTTTAATTAAATACATGCAAAATTTGTAAGCAGAAAAGACTTCTTAAACAGTCAATAATAAAAATAACTTAATATATAATAATATAATAATATATAATAACTTAAATATAGCCACATTATGTATTTTGAAATTTGTTTTGGTGCACTTAAAAACACTATAAACTATAAAACCTATAAACACTCAGAACACGAATAAAAAATGATCAAGATTTCCATGGAGAAGTCTATTTATGTCTGAGATGACTGTGACCATGAGTGTATGGACTGGGATCTCCGATGTGGATCATCGTTTTCTTTCCCCCTCTAAAGGGAAATACCTGCTCAGTTTAAATTTACACCTGCTTTTCCAAAACTGTTTAGCGAGCACAAAATGTCTCCCGACAACACAGCAGTGTCTTGTATGTTCACACATGACTCAATACAACAAGTTTTGTCATGTAACTTTGATTGTGCAAGCAGGGCTTAAAGATCATACCCAAATTGTACAATCATTTATGAACTAGATAGAGTATATGTGTAACTAAATCATCTGATCTAAAGAGCAGAATGTAATGTTTAATCTGGTTTTGGAAAATGCTGACAGTGTTGCTTCTGTCAGCAAACTGAACCACTGAGGGAAGCAACACCGTCATCATAAACGCTTTGGAAATGCTTTCAACAGGCATATCTAAATATATTAAAGCGAATGCAAACTAATACAACCTGTGTGCTTCATTTTCATTTTTAGAGTCTCTTACAAATACATATCAGTATAAATTTGGATGATCACAACATGCAGGTTTATGCTTCATTTGACTCTAAGCTTTGAAATAATTTGAGTGATTCATTGGCTTATGATCAGAAAAACTTGCCAAACCTGTTCTGGAAAATGTAATTAATTAAATAAAATTCAGTTCAGTTTGGAGTTTATTTTTATGTTTGTATCTTTTCACAATAAGTATCCTTCCAAAGCAGCTTTATAAAAGGTTTAAACAATATTATATACAAAATTATAGAACTAAGGTGTTGTGTATAAGTTGGACAGTACAGAAGTCAAGAATGAATAATAAACCTGTCCTGCAGTTATACAATATAGTGTACTTTAAAAAAAAGCTAATATCTGTGTATAATTCATGACCATGACAATAATGCAATTAACTAAACCTGCTTTTGAGGTTCATTTCAAGAGTTCTCAAAGTAAAGTTAAAAAAGCAAACACATTCCCAGAAATAAAGGTACAAAAGCCGTCACTGGGGTGGTACCTTTTTAAAAGGTACAATTTAGGACATTTCAGGTGCTAATATAGACCTTCAAGGCCCTAATATTGAGCCTTGTGGTATAAGTGTGTGCCATTTGAAAAGGTACCACCCCAGTGACAGCATTTGTGTGTTTTTTTATTCTTCTTGAGAATATAACAGCGGTCACAGTGCGGTCAACTGCTATCTACAAGTGTCAACATTCAATGGTAATCACGAAGGAAATATCAGCTTCCTTTTAAACCCGGTTAAAGTTATAAATACGCCTACTCTATTCACAAGAAATTATTCATCAGATACACACCTAAAACAGGGCTGATCATCGTGCATTTTATCACATTGTTGTATGGGTCTGACTTTTGGCCAATACAATGGTCACAAACAGACTGAGCAGATTTATAAATGTGTTTATATGGTCATCTATGCTGGAAGAGAGAGGACACTCGACAGGTCAGTAAACAGGGAGCTCCTGTTAGTATTGTGGAAAGCTCTTCAAATGAAGAAGATAAACTATTTGAGGAACTAGTTTTCAGTTTAACCCAAGAGGTCTGTGGAATAACCACAGACTCAGTGGAAGCAAATTAAGTAGGCAGGTGACAGACTTCAATCAAACTGATCTACTTTCAGTTTCCAAATGTTTTCTTTATTGAATGTCAATATGTGACTATGGACCACAAAACCAGTCATAATGGGTTAGATTTTTGGAATTTGCCATTTATACTGTACATTATATGAAAGCGCATATAAATTATAGATCGGTTTTTCATTGATGTATGGTTTGTATTTCAATCATTTGCCATTATACAATCATATGAACATCTGAAAAATAAAGATGAATATTAAAATATTGAGAAACCCACCTTTAAATTGTTCAAATTAAGTGGGTAGCAATGTATGTTACTAGAAATTAAATTGTGATATATTTACAGTAATAAATGTACAAATATATTCATGAAATATTTTTCTTAATACAATAATGTAGGGCTGGGCAATTTGGCCTAAAATCAAAATCTCAATTAATTTAACATTTTAACTCGATTACGATTAATGAATTATTATTTTGTTTATTTATTTATCAAGTTTTGTTCAGTAAATATGATTTTTGAATGAAGAGTGCATTACTTGAATTTAAAATAATTGAAGGAAACACAGCGCATTTCTATGATTAATAATCAACATCAACGTTAAACAACTGAAATTACAACACAAACATTTCTTATAAATTATTTGCACTTTTGGAAACAAAATGAAACATTTTCAATGTTAAAATGTTAATATTAAAAGTAGAAAATAAGCAGTATATCTTCTAAATAAAATAACTCGTATATCTTGAAAATAATATTTTAAATGGTCTTGAATCTGCTGTAAACAAATATTTTAAATGTAAATAACAATTTATTGCCATGAAAAATATGCTGTCTCTGACGCAGCTTCCAATCATCGTCAATGTAGTGCAAACTTGCGACGTGTAGATACATTTTAAGGTAGATGCATGTGTATACGACCGCATAAAGGCTGCACCAGACCATACCTGTGTGTTCAACGCAGAAGTATGAAGTAACCTTAATAGAGTATGGTCACGTCACTCCACACGTTAGGGAAAGTAATTGAAAAACTTAAATTGGAAAATTTTGAATGTCAATCTCGATTACTTTTCGATTAATTGCCCAGCCCTAATATAATCCTTATTGACATAAAAAATCTATCATTTTGATTATACAATCTATTTTTGGTTATCCAAAAAAATATATGTACAAATATACATATACAAATTGAATAAATCTATAATTAAACAAAAAATATATAGTTGGTAGACGAAAAAAGAGTTTTTTTTTCATTTATTTATTTTTTTGTAATGCACACTTTCTCATTTTGTATTAATGTATCAACTAAATGTCTCTACTGAATCTTTGACAAGCATGTCACTGGACATCAGGACAACAGGAAACCACAGATGAAGATGGTGACAGGAATGCTTACAGGAATGTGGTTTAGATTAGAAACACTCATCCATCAAGGCCACCTTTATTTAAAGCCTATCTTCAAGAGCTTGTTCATTTTGCCTAAAAAAATCTCCTGTCTCTCCTACATCTCTCTCTCTCTCTCTCTCTCTCTCTCTCTCTCTCTCTTTCTCTCTCTATGTCCGCATTGCTGTCTGAAAAAAGATACCGCAGTGACAGGAGAAGTGAATCCACTGGTGCATCCCACACAACAACTACACGCAAATACGCTGAAAGAAAAGACCACAAATCACGTCAGAGAACAGAACAAAAGCCACACACAAACGACAAACCAGACAAACACAGCAAACTAAAACTCCCCCTCACAGACTATTGACCCCTCCAAATAAATGAAGCCTTTTAGGAAAATGAATGAGATCTTCAAACTGAATCTGTAGCCTCAGACGTGTTTTTTAAGGAAGTACTGAGAATAGATGTACAACAACAACAGAAAAATCCTTGAGCCTGAAGTAGCAACAATGAGTCTT